GTCCCACCACCGACATCTTGCAGGGGTGAAGGATGTGCGTGCATGAACCCCGACCGAGGCCCCAGCGTGCATGGATAGAGACATCCATCACCCCCGCAAGATGTCTGTGGTCCCACCACTGACATCTTGCGGGGGTGAGGGATGCCCGTGCATCCCCGACCGAGGCCCCAGCGTGCATGCACAGACCCAGAACAATGCACCAGGCTCGGTCAGACCCCAGCATGCATGCACAGACCAATGCACGAGGCTCGGTCAGACCCAGAACAATGCACCAGGCTGGGTCAGACCCCAGCATGCATGCACAGACCCAGAACAATGCACCAGGCTCGGTCAGACCCCAGCATGCATGCACAGACCAATGCACGAGGCTCGGTCAGACCCAGAACAATGCACCAGGCTGGGTCAGACCCCAGCATGCATGCACAGACCCAGAACAATGCACCAGGCTCGGTCAGACCCCAGCATGCAGGTCCAGGCTCAGTCAGTCAGACTACAGTAGGTGGTGGCTCCAAGGCTCCCAGGCTGCCAGGCTCAAGGCCCACCCCTAACCCGTGCCGCCATGTCTTCATGGACTTCGTCGTGATCACTCTTCGGCTGTGGCCGCAGCCGCAGCCGCAGCCTCAGGGGGGGGGGGGGGCAGGACGAGAGCAAAAATCATGTTATAGCATGACATGCAATGACAGTCAGCTGCTTTGACTTGCGATTCCTGTCACGGCGGCTCCCAGGCACTTTAGGCTCCCAGGCACTTTAGGCTCCCAGGTTTCAGTCAGTTCCACTGAGGTTTTGAACGCCTGCCGACGGCCGCCGCGGCTCTGCGAAGACAAGCCGCCAGTTTTGCATTTACCCATGGAGTGTTGCATGCATGCCTTGAGTGTTTGCCGTGCACCACATGCAATCAGAGTCAGCTGCTTTGACTTGCGAGTGTTGCCACTGGAGTGTTTGCCGAGCACCACATGCAATGACAGTCAGCTGCTTTCACTTTAGGCTCCCAGGCACTTTAGGCTCCCAGGTTTCAGTCAGTTCCACTGAGGTTTGAACACCTGCCGACGGCCGCCGCGGCTCTTCGAAGACAAGCCGCTCTCTCTCTCTCACACGGACTCGGGGGAGAGAGAGAGAGCATGCTTGTCTTCGAAGAATGTTTGCCGTGCACCACATGCAATCACAGTCAGCTGCTTTGACTTGCGAGTGTTGCCACTGGAGTGTTTGCCGAGCACCACATGCAATGACAGTCAGCTGCTTTCACTTTAGGCTCCCAGGCACTTTAGGCTCCCAGGTTTCAGTCAGTTCCACTGAGGTTTTGAACACCTGCCGACGGCCGCCGCGGCTCTTCGAAGTTTGAAGACAAGCCGCCAGTTTTGCATGCACCCGTGGAGTGTTGCATGCATGCCTAGAGTGTTTGCCGTGCACCACATGCAATCACAGTCAGCTGCTTTGACTTGCGAGTGTTGCCACTGGAGTGTTTGCCGAGCACCACATGCAATGACAGTCAGCTGCTTTCACTTTAGGCTCCCAGGCACTTTAGGCTCCCAGGTTTCACTCAGTTCCACCGAGGTTTCCTGCCGAAGGCCGCCGCGGCTCTTCGAAGACAAGCCGCCAGTTTTGCATTTACCCGTGGAGTGTTGCATGCATGCCTAGAGTGTTTGCCGTGCACCACATGCAATCACAGTCAGCTGCTTTGACTTGCGAGTGTTGCCACTGGAGTGTTTGTCGAGCACCACATGCAATGACAGTCAGCTGCTTTCACTTTAGGCTCCCAGGCACTTTAGGCTCCCAGGTTTCAGTCAGTTCCACTGAGGTTTCCTGCCGACGGCCGCCGCGGCTCTTCGAAGACAAGCCGCCAGTTTTGCATTTACCCGTGGAGTGTTGCATGCATGCCTAGAGTGTTTGCCGTGCACCACATGCAATCACAGTCAGCTGCTTTGACTTGCGAGTGTTGCCACTGGAGTGTTTGTCGAGCACCACATGCAATGACAGTCAGCTGCTTTCACTTTAGGCTCCCAGGCACTTTAGGCTCCCAGGTTTCAGTCAGCCCCACTGAGGTTTTGAACACCTGCCGACGGCCGCCGCGGCTCTTCGAAGTTTGAAGACAAGCCGCCAGTTTTGCATGCACCCGTGGAGTGTTGCATGCATGCCTAGAGTGTTTGCCGTGCACCACATGCAATCACAGTCAGCTGCTTTGACTTGCGAGTGTTGCCACTGGAGCGTTTGTCGAGCACCACATGCAATGACAGTCAGCAGCTTTCACTTTAGGCTCCCAGGCACTTTAGGCTCCCAGGTTTCACTCAGTTCCACTGAGGTTTCCTCCGACGGCCGCCGCGGCTCTTCGAAGACAAGCCGCCAGTTTTGCATTTACCCGTGGAGTGTTGCATGCATGCCTAGAGTGTTTGCCGTGCACCACATGCAATCACAGTCAGCTGCTTTGACTTGCGAGTGTTGCCACTGGAGTGTTTGCCGAGCACCACATGCAATGACAGTCAGCTGCTTTCACTTTAGGCTCCCAGGCACTTTAGGCTCTCCCAGGTTTCAGTCAGTTCCACTGAGGTTTTGAACACCTGCCGACGGCCGCCGCGGCTCTTCGAAGACAAGCCACCAGTTTTGCATGCACCCGTGGAGTGTTGCCCCTGGAGTGTTTGCCCAGCACCACATGCAATGACAGTCAGCTGCTTTGACTTGCGAGTGTTGCCGCTGGAGTGTTTGCCGAGCACCACATGCAATGACAGTCAGCTGCTTTGACTTGCGATTCCTGTCACGGTGACTCCCAGGCACTTTAGGCTCCCAGGCACTTTAGGCTCCCAGGTTTCAGTCAGTTCCACTGAGGTTTTGAACGCCTGCCGACGGCCGCCGCGGCTCTGCGAAGACAAGCCGCCAGTTTTGCATTTACCCATGGAGTGTTGCATGCATGCCCAGAGTGTTTGCCGTGCACCACATGCAATCACAGTCAGCTGCTTTGACTTGCGAGTGTTGCCGCTGGAGTGTTTGCCGAGCACCACATGCAATGACAGTCAGCAGCTTTCACTTTAAAGGCTCCCAGGCACTTTAGGCTCCCAGGTTTCAGTCAGTTCCACTGAGGTTTGAACACCTGCCGACGGCCGCCGCGGCTCTTCGAAGACAAGCCGCTAGTTTTGCATTTACCCGTGGAGTGTTGCATGCATGCCTAGAGTGTTTGCCGCGCACCACATGCAATCACAGTCAGCTGCTTTGACTTGCGAGTGTTGCCGCTGGAGTGTTTTCCGAGCACCACATGCAATGACAGTCAGCAGCTTTCACTTTAAAGGCTCCCAGGCACTTTAGGCTCCCAGGTTTCAGTCAGTTCCACTGAGGTTTGAACACCTGCCGACGGCCCGCCGCGGCTCTGCAAAGGCAATCCGCGAGTTTTGCACGCACCCGTGGAGTGTTGCCAATGGAGTGTTTGCCGAGCACCACATGCAATCACAGTCAGTTGCTTTGACTTGCGAGTGTTGCCGCTGGAGTGTTTGCCGAGCACCACATGCAATGACAGTCAGCTGCTTTGACTTGAAATTCCTGTCACGGTGGCTCCCAGGCACTTTAGGCTCCCAGGCACTTTAGGCTCCCAGATTTCAGTCAGTTCCACTGAGGTTTTGAACACCTGCCGACGGCCGCCGCGGCTCTTCGTGAAGGCAAGCCGCCAGTTTTGCATGCACCTGCGGAGTGTTGCATGCATGCCTGGAGTGTTTGCCGTGCACCACATGCAATCACAGTCAGCTGCTTTCACTTGCGTTTCCTGTCACGGTGGCTCCCAGGCTCTTTCAGGCTCCCAGGTTTCAGGCTCCTGAAGCAGGAGTCAGACCAGTTCCTGGGTTAGCATATGTCAAGCAGCGCGGACAGTGACATCATGGCTGCATTGAAGCTCCGAGCGAAGGCGGTCGAGTCCACGGACACCGCCGCAGCTGCGGCTGCACAGCCGTCCGAGACGGTGGATTCGGAGGGCTTCACAGTGGTCTCAGATCCCGCCAAAAAGGAGGACCAGGAGGAGCAGCAGCAGCCTGGCTCGGGATCGACTTCGTTGGCAAGGGCCAGTGACGATGCCACTTCGTCGGATGTCGGCGAGAACATCCCACAAGTCCTTCAGTCCATGATCAAACCGGCGATGCTGCGCTACAAGGCTACGGATCTCCAGTCCCACTATATGCACATTGGCTTAAACGACTGGGAGTTCAAGTTAGATGTTACATTAATTATTTGGTTTATTGCTTTGAACTTATAATTAATCAGTTTTTTATTTTAATAATTATTATTATTATAGATCCTCCAGGCACCTGAAGCAAGCGCCGGACCTGCTGAGAGACCGTTACGACACGAGTGAGCAGTTCACGTGGGCACTGGCAGGGTTCAATGCGTATCGCAGCTCATTCTACCCAGACGGCAGTTTTTCCGACAATTGTGGCATCATAGCATGTACCTCGGCAGAATAACATTAAAATTTAATTTAATAATATAATAATTAAATAATTAATTTAATTTAGTAATCATAATAATTAATCATATTATTATAGTAGGTTGTAGTTTAGTTTTTCATTTGAATTGTTCTGAAGATCGTGTCAACTCAGATTTCCCGTGGGAAGACATGGAGGTTATGCCCAAGTTGCAGAGCATCGCGACGTCCATGCCGCCGCAGAATGCAACGCCGCAGGTGTACTCTGTTGTACCTGAGCCTGATGAAGTTATTAATTAACTTAAATCTGTGAATGAATGTAATTATTATTAATTGCACTGAGGTGGCGTGCTGCATCCGGGAGCTTCTGGATCAGTTTCTCTATGCGCCTGACGAAAAGGTGGTCCGCATCCTCTTGTTCCCATACATAGCAAACGGGGCTGCGCGAGGATGTATGTTGAATCGCTTCGAACCCTGGCTAGGCTAGATCGAAGTTGGAGTAACAGATTGTTTGCATCGTTTGACTTATTATATATGACTCATTCGACTGAGTCCAGACTTAACCAAGGACCAGGATCCCCAGTGGGCAGGATGGTCACTGCCGATCATGACGGATGGCTTGCTCTTGTCGGTGTCATCGTACGCCCAGGATGTCTTGGCCTTTGCCTCCATGTTCTTGAACAAATGCGGGTTCCTGTCAGCGGTACCAAGATCTGCTCCGATAGGCATTGCTGCGCAGACCTTCGCATCCGTGGAGGAGAGGAACGAGATGATGCTCCAAAACAGTTTCCTCCGCGAGCGCTTCACCGAGGAGTATGAAAACAAGCTGTACAAGTGCGGCGTGCGGCTTGCTGTCTTCAACCAAGCCCTGCGGCAACTTGGCTCAGTATTTTGTGCCGTTCCGTTATGATTAAATTATTTATTAATTAGATAAAAATCCAAGGCGGTCGGAGGTGATGACCAACACTGCCCGGATGGATGCCGGGTTTGGGCACTTCATTACGCCACTCCCTGCCGACGGCCTTGAGATGGCGGCGCTGTACGGATCCAAGTCTTTGTGGGCGACCGATCAAGGCTATTTCTACTCCATCGGCCTGATCCCAGCGACGGTTTGCGCTTCGAAGAAGTTCGTCACTGAGACGAAGATGCCGTTCTGTGAGGTGATCAAGGGCGATCTGGACGAGACCATGGAGGACTTCCGCTTCTCGAAGAAGAGGGAGGTGACCTTCGCCTACCTGGGCGATGGGGACGACTTCGGGCTCTTCTTGGATGGCTACACTCTGGCGCCTGGGCGATTTTAAATAAAATAGTTTAGTATTAACTTGACTGATAACCTTCCATCCCAGGAACGCGTGATCCTGTGGAAGCGGGTGCCCTTGGTGATGAAGTTTCAGCGGCACCTGGATGCCATTGGCAGGCCGTACACGGTCACCCTCTGCCGGTGCGGTAAATGGGGGCGACAGGTCGACTTGGCCATGAAATACTCAGGCACCAGGAACCCTGATCAGTGAAGCCTGCTGACTGTTTCATTGCTGGCTGGCTTTGTTTTGCACAGGCGATCCCCAGGCCCCTAGGCTCCTAGGTTCTAAGGCTGGGATGTCTTGAGGAGCCATGATTTATATTAATGACAATAATACAAAAGTGATATGATTCATGTGTAAATGTATTATAGCTTTGTTTCACTCAAGTTCAAGGTTCCAAGGCTCCCAGGCTCCCAAGGCTCCTAGGCTTAGGATCTTGGCCGAACGCACAGGGGGACAAGCAGCTTGTGCCAATTCAAAGATTTCAAGCCAGCCAGCCACGACGGAATCCTGGCATTGTCCAGCTGGCCAGAATCCTGGCATGTGCAGAGCAACGTCAAGTCTAGTCGATGTTGCCTGCACCCTCCAGCCGTGCGGCCGACAGCGAGCGCACATGCAAAAACAATGCTTTCTTCAATCAGCTTGTCAAGTAAAACCCCCCAGCCCGATAAACCGCAGAACCCCCCCCCCCGCGGCAGGCGATCTTCATCCCGGCCCGGCTTGCCTGCTCAGGCCAGCGGGAATTCAGGCTTTTTTGAAGGGTATCCATAAACCCTAAACCCTAAACCCGTGGAGCCTTGCCTGCCTGTGCGAGTGTGAGCGTCGAAAACCCTAAACCCTAAACCCTAAACCCTAAACCTTACTCGCCGAGGCTCGGCAGCGGAATCCGCGCTGGAGCCGGAGGCGGGTTCGGGTTTGTAAGGACTTAGGCTTAGGGTTTAGGGTTTGTAAGGATTTAGTTAGGGTTTGTAAGGACTTAGGGTTTAGGGTTTAAGTAAGGATTTAGGGTTCAGGGTTTGCAAGGAGTTAGGGTGAAGGGTTTGTAAGGACTTAGGCTTAGGGTTTAGGGCTTGTAAGGAATTTAGGGTTTAGGGACTCGCGGAAGGTTCCATTAAGTTAATTCCAAAACCCTTAAAGCCCAAACCCTAGACCCTAAGTCCTTACAAACCCTAAACCCTAAGGCCTTACAAACCCTAAACCCTAAGCCTAAGTCCTTACAAACCCTTAACCCTAAGTCCTTGCAAACCCTGAACCCTAAATCCTTAAACCCTAAACCCTAAGTCCTTACAAACCCTTAACCCTAAGTCCTTGCAAGCCCTGAACCCTAAATCCTTACTTAAACCCTAAACCCTAAGTCCTTACAAACCCTAAACCCTAATTCCTTACAAACCCTAAACCCTAAGCCTACGTCCTTACAAACCCTTAACCCTAAGTCCTTGCAAACCCTGAACCCTAAATCCTTACTTAAACCCGTAACCCTAAGTCCTTACAAACCCTAAACCCTAAATCCTTACAAACCCTAAACCCTAAACCCTAAGTCCTTACAAACCCTAAACCCTAAATCCGATAAACCCTAAACCCTAAGTCCTTACAAACCCTAAACCCTAAATCCTTGCAAACCCTGAACCCTAAATCCTTACAAACCCTAAACCCTTACAAACCCTAAACCCTAAATCCTTACAAACCCTTAACCCTGTTGCTTCGGAGTTACCCTGCAATGCGGGCTTCGTCCTTGCTAGGTAGCCTTAAACCCTTAGCCCCGAAACCCTAAACCCCAATCCCCTAAACCCTAAACCCCTCTGCCATCGCATCAAAAAAACCCTAAACCCCTGTAAACCCTAAACCCTAAACCCCTAAACCCCTAAACCCTAAACCCCTAAACCCCTAAAACCCTACCCTAGACCCCTAGACCCCTAAACCCCTAAACCCCTAAACCCCTAAAACCCTAAACCCCTAAATCCCTAAACCCTTAAATCCCTAAATCCTAAACCGGAGTTCACACAAAGGCATGTCCCGTATCGGGCATCGCCGCGGGGCTCAGCCCTATGAACACGCTGCTCGAATTGGGACGAGCTAAGCGTGGTATGGCAACAACTCCACGGGGCAATCCTGGAGGCCATACGGCGAGTACAATTGCCTGCCGGTCGCGGCAAACTGGGGCTGCACATGGCAGCACGGCAACGCCACAGCCATGCGGTACTGGAAGTTCCAGACCACAAACGCATGGAGACTGCGCAGCGGCTGTGAGCCGGCGCTCCGGTCCACGGACCCTCAGAAGCGCGTACATGCGCGTATAGCGTGACAGAAACACATTGTCACGCACGCGTCACGCGTCCGCGAGGGCCCCTAGGCTCCAAGGCTCCAAGGCTCCGAAGGATTTTGTTTGGCAAACCCCTCACAAAAATGATTAAAGAGGTAGTGGCGGGGTTTAGCAACGTTTTTGTTGAAAGTAGGCCATAAATCGTCTAAACCCTAAACCCTGGACCCTATTAAATTCCAGACCCTAAACCCTTAAGATTATCACCATCTTACGGTACTCGGCTGCAGTCGATTCATTAAAATCCCTTTGAACGCCTATGACCCCGCCGTAAGCCTAACACCCTGCCCATAGCCCGCTCCCTAAAGCCTGGTACCCCTAAAATGCCCACTCCAGTAAAGGCTTCAACCCCTAACAGCCCCCATGAGGGTTTAGGGTTTAGGGTTAAAGTTTAATTTCAAAATTATTATTTTAAATTAAGTAACATTTAATTAAATAATAAGTTAAAATGAAAGTAAACCCTAAACCCCGTTCTTGATCGTCGATAATTGCTGAAACCCAGGTTACACTCGAAACCCTGGACACCAAACTACCTAAATCCTAAAGCCCCCTGTACCCCCTGTATTCCTTAAGCAAAGCACACACCAAAACTTGACAGGACCCTTCAATGCACCCGGATGACCCTTGGATGCAACGATCAGGCCAGGCACTGCATCTAAGGGTGTTTTGTGTGCATCCAAGGGTCATTGAGGGGTACTGGTCTGGTGGGATCATCGCCTTTGCTTCTGTCCCAGTGCCAGTCACTCGTCGCGAAGTTTGAAGTTGTCAGCAAGTGCTCAACTTAAACGTTGCATTCAAGGCTCCAGGCACCAAGGCACCCAGGCTCTCAGGCTCCAAGGCCTAGTAGAGTGTGCATTTTGACCCTACCCACACAGTGTACGCTGCCGTTACGTCACTGTGGGCACCGTTGGCCGGGTGTCGGGCCGCAGGAACTCAGCCTTGAGGCCAACCTGCCAAGGCAGTGGCAGATGACAGCTGGGCCAATGGGCTAATGCGCCAGCTGGGGCAAAATCTGGGCCAGGGATCCTGTTGTCCCGCCAGATTGTTCCTGCAATGAGGGGGAGGCTTTACTGCTGGGATCATCGGCTTTGCTTCTGTCCCAGTGCCAGTCACTCGTCGCGAAGTCTGAAGTTGTGCAAGTGCAGAATTCAAACTTTGCATTCAAGGCTCCAGGCCCCCAGGCCCCCAGGCGCCCAGGCTCTCAGGCTCTCAGGCTCCAAGCCCCTGAGGCTGCATGTCTACCAGCCCTCCGTGCGTCTCCAGGCACTTTGAGGCAGTGGCTGGATGGCTGGGGTTCGGGCTTTCAGAGTGCCACCGATGCCAGCACGTTTTGGTCTCGGGGCGACCAAGCTTCCACAAAGATTGATACAAGTCTTCAAACTCGTCATTGTTGTTCGTCGATGATAGTTGAAACCCAGGTTACACTCGAAACCCTCGTTACCAAACCACCTAAATCCTTAAAGCCCCCCTGTACACCCTGTAAATTCCTTAAGCAAAGCACACACCAAAACTTGACAGGACCCTTCAATGCACCCGGATGACCCTTGGATGCAACGATCAGGCCAGGCACTGCATCTAAGGGTGTTTTGTGTGCATCCAAGGGTCAATTGCTGAAACCCAGGTTACACTCGAAACCCTCGACACCAAGCCACCTTTATCCTAAACCCCACCCTGTACCACCTGTATTCCTTCAGCAAAGCACACACCAAAACTTGAAAGGACCCTTCAATGCACCCGGATGACCCTTGGATGCAACGATCAGGCCAGGCACTGCATCTAAGGGTGTTTTGTGTGCATCCAAGGGTCATTGAGGGGTACTGGTCTGGTGGGATCATCGCCGTTGCTTCTGTCCCAGTGCCAGTCACTCGTCGCGAAGTTTGAAGTTGTCAGCAAGTGCAGCAATTTAAACGTTACCGTTGCATTCAAGGCTCCAGGCACCCAGGCACCCAGGCTCTCAGGCTCCAAGGCCCAGTAGAGTCGCTGCCGCCATGATTCCAGGCACTTTGAGGCAGTGGCTGGACGGCTGGGGGTCCGGCTTTCAGAGTGCCACCGAGGCCAGCATCGGTGCCACTCATGCCCGTTTTGGTCTCGGGGCGGCCAAACTTCCACAAAGATTGTTGGTGGGAACTGATTGCAGTGGCATTGATGCACCGATCCATGGCCTTAGGGAGCTCGGCATCACGCACCAGCATTTGTTTGGGAGTGAGGTGGCTGCTGGTCCTCGGTCGGTTATCGAGGCTAATACCAAGCCCTCGGTACTGTTCCACAGTGTCCTGGATGCTGACAAGGCACCGTTCGTTCACCTGTACATTGCCGGCTTCAGCTGCAAGCCGTTCAGCCTGCTCCACAATAAGTCAAGGCTCCTCAAGGAAAAACAGGCTCAAATATTCTATGGGGTCGTTGCACGCATCCAACTTGTGCGGCCCTCGTGCTTCGTGCTGGAGAATGTGTCAGGCATCAAGCGTGTTTCTGCAAAGGTTCTGGCGGCACTCAGGTCCACAGGCTATCATGTCGAAATGATTTTGATGAACCCTGCCGAGCTACAGGAGCCCATCCAGAGGCCTAGGTACTACTTCATCGGGGTCCGGCAAGATGTGAGCCTCATCTCGCCAAAGGACATGTCGTGCTGGCTTCGTGAGGCTTGGGCGGAAGTCCTGGATGCAGTTGCTTCCGGAGACGCAGTCGATCTTTTGGATAGACTGCTACCGGCGAGCCACCCTGCTGTGGCACAGTACCAGGAAAGCCGCAAACGGAAGTGGTCGCAAGCTTCCAACCGTGGGTTCCCAGGCTCCCAGGCTCCAGGCTCCCATGCTCCAAAGTGGAAAGAATTGCACAAGATGTGCAAAGCTTCAATGCAGCAGGGCAGCCGGTTGAAGAGTGAGAGTCGGAGGCCTTGCACTGAGAGCGGAGTCGCCTGCTGCGCAGACACGTTGTTCCTGCATTTGCCGCGTGAGCGTGATGCCTGGGACATCATTTGCACAAAGCATGCAGGCAGTAAGGAGCTTGTCGCGGATGTATCCCAGAATGTGAACCGAGCCCGGGTGCGGACCGATGGCTCCCTGCCTACTGTTACACCTGGGGCCGTACTGGTATCCGCACGAGCTGGAAGGATCATTAGCCCGCTTGAAAAAGTCATGCTGCACGGTTTTCCAATTCACCGTATGGTTTTTCCCAGCAAAGTGACCGACAAGGAGCTCGCCAGCATGGGCGGCAACACGATGCATGTGCAGATTGTAGCCGTGGCAATGAAGTTTGCGCTTGCGTTGGTAAACTGGAGCCTGCCCAAAGCTTCCCGGCCGACAGCCTTGTGCAGCACCGTTGCTGCGCCAAGCATAACTGCTTCAGTTGTGCTCGGCGCAGCAGCGAAATGCCGCAAGCGCCATGGCAAGCCACGGAAGGCTCCCAAGGCGCGAAAGGCTGCATCGGCGCAGAAGCCTCCAAAGGCACCAAAGGCTCCAAAGGCTCAGAAGGCTGAAGGCATGTCAGCTTTGGCAAAGCGTTGGCAGAAAGTCTTGAGACCGCAGGCAGCAAAGAAGTGCTCGAGGAAGGGTGCCACGGCCACATTGGCGTCCCGTCTTGCCCATCGCTGGGCAAAGTAGTAGTCATTAATTCGTCATATTATGACGGAGAATGGCATGCGTTTTCTAATTTGGCCACTCGGAGTTGGCATCATAGACTGACTTAGGTGAGGCCGGGTGCAAAATTCGGGAAAGCCTGCTCCGAGCAGTACAGATTATTTAGACTGGGTCACCCTGCCGACTCCCAGTGAAACAAACCGCCGCAGTGTGCATAGGAGTTCGCAGTGTTGTGCCATTCGGGCTGCTTGACTCGGGGTAATACCCTCACGTCTGCCAGGCAGCTGCTCGCTGTCGGATCGAACGGGAAGCTGGAGGCGCGGTTCTCGGGTTAGTCGGAGTCGGTTGGACCAGTTGCAGAGTCTGATTCAGTTCCAGTCTTAGCACGGTTGCCACGGTTGCGTTTGCTTGTCATCGTAAGTGCTGCGCGGTCGCTTCAGGCTCCCAGGCTCAAGGCTCCAAGGCCCCCAGGATTTCAATGCCAGTGGGTAGCCGCACCCTGCGTGGTCTTGCCGCTCGGTTCGGACTACGCTCCCGGAAGCAGGACCGGACGCCGACAAAAAAAAGACGAGGTCCACAAGGATCCGTGCCTGCGGCCCCGAAGAAGCTTCGGCTCGAGTCCGGCGAAGGCCTGGCTCAGGAGGGCGACGACGACACCGGAAAGGGATGTGGCGATGTTGGTCTCGCGACTGAGAGCGATGCAGAGCATTTGGCTCGCCATCGTGGTGGCGACGAGAAATGCAGCCGATGCAAGCTGCCCGGTTCAGAAACCCTAATTTTAATTTAAATTATTATTTAATTTATAATTTTATTTAATATTTAAATAGAAATTTAAATCATAAATGGTCTTATTATTAATAGGGTTTCTGAACCGGGCAACTAGACATACTACATACATACATACTTACATGCCTGCCATGCATGCATACACATTACATGTCAATCTATTTTTTCATTTTGGTTCTTTATCATCTTGCTGTCGTGTTTCTCTCTCTCTCTCTCTCTCGGTGGCTCTCTCTCTCTCTCTCTCTCTCTCCGTCGCTCTCTCTCTCTCTCTCTGTCTCTCTCTCTCTCTCTTTCTCTCGTTCTCTCTCTCTCTCTCTCGCTCTCTCTCTCTCACTCTCTCTCTCTCTCTCTCTCTCTCTTTCTCGTGCTCTCCGTCTCTCTCTCTCTCTCTCTCTCTTTTTCTCTCTCTCTCTCTCTCTCTCTCTCTCTATCTCTCTCTCTCTGTCTCTCTCTCTCTCTGTTGGATCGTTATTGTTTGTGGCAGACTTGCTACTTGACTATGTTGCAGTTGCTGGTTGGTTCTTGCTTCCGGCATTCTCGACTTGATCTCGTCCGTTTGCATACAATCCCAACATGTCAGTCAGGTTCCTTCGCTTCCAGGAAGTTTGGAGCAAAGCCGGAAGCCTCACCCACACGTCTTGGGGCAAGCAGCAGCGGACAGTTTGGCTGGGCCAGAGACCAGCTCGCCGAGGAGGCGATTGGGGCATCGGCTGTCACTTTTGTGCACACTTGATGAATGTTTTGGCACAGAACCCAGCAGAGCGGAAGAGGTTGCAGTCCGGCCGAATTGTGCAGTGTAGTGCGAGCGGATAGCCCCTTTGTGATCAAATTAAGGCTGACCGTGACCAGCCCAACTTTCGCAGCCCTAAATGCCTAAGGCTGGGCAGTCGCCTCTCTACCAAGTGGGGTGCCTATGAGGTCCGATCAAGGACCGCATCATGTTGTCGTTGTCAGCTGTGATTTAAGGCATCAGTCGCGGACTTTGGCAGGAGTGCGATGCAGGCATGCTGCATACACGCTCACAGCAAGACCTTCGTTCACCAGGTGGCCACGAAGGTTTACCTAGCTCCTGACACGCCGATCTCACAGTGCTTGCCTTACAGCATCAAGCATCAGCACCTCTTCTCCGGCAACGTTCCTCAGCCGGCAGATTGGCTGCGAGCGTGGCGGGCGTGCCGGACAGCATCTTCTTTCAAAGGTGCCGTGAAATTCTATTCCACGGAAGACTTCGCTGCTGGCAGGAACACGAAGCTTGACAGTGTGAGCCAGGATGCAGCACTTTAAAAGGCCTAAGGTTTCAGATTGTTGACATTTTATTTTGGCACATTTAAATTTAAAATTGGACAAATAATTTAATTAATCATCTGAGGTCTCAAGAACATGATTCTTGTTATGCACTGGGCTGTCAAGAGTGTTCGCAAGCAGCGTCTCGAACAAGCCACCAGCATCAGCTTGTCCGTGGACGACCGCAAGGAGCATCGTTTGGTGAGGTACCGTTGCGATGTTCCACCGCGCACTGCCAAGCAGTCAGCGGCTCCAGGCTCCCAAGGTCCCCAAGGCTCCCAAGGCTCCCAAGGCTCGGAGGATGGCCCGCTTGTCGCCGATGGCTTGCTTGGGGGCTACAAGACAGGTGCCAGTGTTCCTGAAAACACATTGGAGGAGCACGATGCGGACAAGAGTCAGGTGATGGCAGACAGCATAGGCATAGTCATTGACAGGGCCTGTCAGGATCCGGAAGGCAAAACTGACGAGGAGTCCTGCAGCCGCTTGAAGCTGCACGCGCGGCACTTTGCAGCCGATCAGTGCACATCTGCCCGGAAGTGTGGAAGGTTGTTGGTCACTGGCGGCCAGTATCCTAACCTGGTCTGGGTAAGCCATGATCCTGCGCACCAGGTTCGTATTG